CGCACCATTGCATTCCAGCCTGGGTGATAGAGCAAGACTCTTGTCTCAAAACAAAACAAAATAAAAAACTTAACACACAGAGATGTCATGAGGAAAATGCTAACCACATGGAAAATATACAATCAATAAGGTTCCTTCTCTGAGCCTCAATTTCCTTGCCTGTAAAAGGAGGAAGCTGGATTTATTGTGTATGATCCTTTCCGGAGTTATAATATTCTGGTTACCTCTTTTTATATTCACAGAAAAAGATTGCTAAATGAGTTTAAATGTCTTCATTTGTCTTCAGGTAGTTATTTTTCTTTTATTTCCTGAATAACCAGGAAGTCAAAAACAGATGAGCAGTGCCTCTGGAATGTCTGGGCCACTCCACCCTGGGCACCTGGGAAATGACAGGGTATTTCCACTCATCAGAATCTCCCTGATGAAGAGAGCTTTCCTTAGTGGGAAGAGGATCTAACTTCAGTTGTAATAAGCCAGTGTATGCTATTAAAAATACTATATACCCTCAATTTTGGACTTTGGGTACTCCCAGCTTTCTTTTAATTGGTTTGCTTACCTATATTTGCAATACAGATACTCTGCTGAAACAGTTACGCAAGTGTTCTATAATATATTACATCCCATGTGTATGTCATTGGTTAAAGTCCAATAAGATCATTATCAATTAGAGAGGGTTGCATAGTAGTTGAATTTACAGAATTGTCTCCTACACATCAGAAATGCTAATAATTGCTCATCTTTGATGGTACTAGGATAATAATTTTACAATTCTCTCTTTGCTTTTGTAAGATTGAAAAGTAGCTTGGCTCATAGCAGGGGCAATACTCATCAGACTACAAAAAGGCAAAAACTTAAAAAGGGAGAGAGCTACAAAATCAGGAAACATTTCCATTCCCAATTTCTCAAAACATGATATGCTTTTTATTTAATAAAAATTTTGTGTGGATACAGAATCGTAGAGAGGAACACCCACATGACTTAGAATTTAAAGTATCTCATGTATGAGATTTCTTAATTTAAGCCTTTTCTGTGCCTGCTAAATACCAGTGGGTGAAGAACGCCTTCAATGCCATTTTGGCATTTCTAGCACCCTGTGTAGCTTGGTAGGATTCTTTATCCTGACATGGTATAACAGTCCCAGCTTTTCTTGCAGAAGAAAGTCCATTCTGCTTAACATTAATTTTAAGAGATACTATAGTGGAACTGAGTATCAGCAGACTTTTTTGTTTCCATACGTATGATTAAGTTTCTCTGTATACAAATTAGAGATAAAACAACTTGTTCCTTACTATATGTGGAAGGCTGGGGGAATTTTTTCTATAGCAATAATGATAAATATTAACATTCTCTGAGTATCTACTATTTCCTAGGCATCATGGTTGGAATTTTGAATTCCATTATTTTATTTAATCCTAAGAAGACTGTGTATTGTCTACTTTTTTCCTTTTCCTTTTTTTTTTTTTTAAAGACTAGTCAAGTGCAGTAGATACCTACTTTTTTTCAAATGAGGAAGCTAACATTTAGAGAAGCTAAATAATTTACCATTTATGGTGCTGGTAAAAGTATGCCATGTCTGATTCCAACACTTTAACTTTCATTACTTCTCTTTGACTTTCTAAGGGGAAGATGGAAATGTTCTGAAGTCTGATGCATTGCCTACAAGTCCTTCAGCAACTGAAACCACACTTCTGTCACTCTTCCTCCTCCTGCTTTCCCTTATCTCTTACGTGCTGCTGATACAAACCTGCTTAGAATTCCCTTAAAGTCCTGTTCTCTCAAGTCTCTGGACCTTTGTTGGTGATTGTTTCTTGGCTTAAAATTTCTTTATCCCAGTAGCATCAGACTAGCTAGCCTACTCCTTTCAAGTTTCAGTTTAAACTACTCTGCCAAGATTCCATTACTCTTGACCATACTCCATTACAGCAAGGATCTTACTGTGTCATCACTTAAATTGAGCAACTTGAGGGAGTCTTTTTGTTTCTTCATTATTGTATTTCCAGGGCCTTTCAAAATATCTATTTTGCAGTGGACATTCAATTAAATATTTATAGAATGAATGCATGAAAGAATGCATAAATGACTTGCTATTCATGCAAAAAACTCACTAGGGATCTGTGGAGGGTCCTATCTTACCTTATTCCATAACAGCCTAAAAATTACCAGAAGTGAAAACTTTTCATCCTCTCATAAGAAAGCTTTCCAACATACCCTTGCTTTTCTCCACAACAGCATACCTGGAACGCAGTAGTAGCTTGACACTTATTTGTTGAATTGATGAAGAGCCTGAAAAACGAATATGACGTCTTTATAATATAATGCCTATTCTTTCCAGACTCATTTTGTGCCCCTCCTACTTTATTCTCTAATAACAACAGTCTGTAATCTTAATTCAAGGACCAAATACTTGTTTAATCTCATTACGTGCCTGCACATTGGTGCACTGCTTCAAGTAGCCTCCTTTCTTTCCTTGCTGTCCGTGTTCGTGGAAATTTATGAAACCATTCAGCGAATACCATATTTATTGTGGTTTTCCTGTCTTCCTTCATTCAATTCAGTTACGTTGCCCAGACCAACCCTGACCCCTTTAGCAGCTAGTGCCTGCCTCTATCTTAGCCCTGATTACATCAATTTTATGTTTGTCACTCCCTACCCCCATCCCTAACCCACCATACCGTTATGCTCTCAGAAGGCTGGAATTAAAGTTTGGTTCACCTGTGGGTTCCCAGGGCCCATCAAAAACCTAGGGGGCCAAACTGTCTATATATAAGTATTGAAATGCATAATTGCTACTCTTTATTGAACAACATGGATTAACACTTCGAAGTCTCACCGCAACAAGTGAATTAGCTATTATCTCCATGTCATCGATGAGAAAAAAGAGGCTTGAAGAAGTTTAGACACTTGCTTAAGGTCACACAGTGGTGGAGCCTGTTGTCGCAGGAATCTGAAGAATGAAGTCACCTTTGACTCTAAATGAGTAAGACTCCTATCTTTTCTTGACGTTTTCATTTAGCCTTTGCAGTCCTTCTTCTTTAGACCAATGACTCCTCATCTTGATATTGTAAGTGGGGGCAATACCCCCTTTCTTCATTTTGGAAATTGTTCACTCTCTCTTTGGAAGCAGCGTGATTTTAAACTTTCCGAACGCTCCTTCTGTGGAAGAATCCGCGTAGGAGCCCTGGGGCACATACTAGGTCCAGTGAGAAGGGCTGTCATTCGAAGCGTAATGTGGGAACTAAGAGCTTTTTTCCGGTTAGAAAACACAGAGAAGAATTTAGCAGAGGGGAGGATGGTCCTTCTGTTAGGCGCACATCCTAAGACTTGAGGGAATTTGGCTGCTCACACTTAAGGTGGCTGCGGGCGACTCTGTTGCCCACAGCTAAGATGGCTGCTTATGAACATCTCCTTTGGCTGGCTCTGTTTTTTTGCTCACTAGAATTTTCATTGAGGATTAAAGCGAATAAAATTGAGCAGAAGTTGGCATCTCCTTGCCAGGTAGATAAAATAAGAAGGTGGCACGGTTTGTTTCGAAAACCTTCTACCGCACAAATTGTTCTTGCCCTTAGCCAAAATGGTCGTTGTGGCTGTCCCGAGGTTTGAAGCTTCCAGCCCTTAAATAAGATGGCGCCTGGAGGCTCGTTAGGAATTAGCTTGCCCGTTTTTCTGCCCTCGACCAACACGGCTTCCGTGGCGTCGTTCACGTGACATTCCTGGACTACGGCGCGGGAGAGGGGGTAGGAGGGCCCTTGAAGGGTGCGCGTTCCCGTGGCGGTGTACCCGGTAGGTTTCAGTCAGAGTCACTATGGCGGCCGGCGCTGGCAAGGTAAGCTGAGGCGGCGGTGGCGGCTAGGGAGGTAGGACCCGTCGTGGCGTCCTGGCTCCACATCCTCGCAGCCCGCTTGTGGAGAGGTCGGCAGAGGTCGTGCCTAGCGGTGGGAGCTGGCGGGGGTCTGGCTGGAGGGGGCGAGGGCTGAGGCGCCTGACGGCCGTTTGTTTTCTATTTTCCCCACCAGGTCGGAAAGTTTCCTGCCTCGCCGGGCGCAGCCTGAGCTTGCTCCATCGGCCGTGATCGGTGGAGGCTGCGGCGGACCCAGCCCGGGGCCTCCAGGCCTCTCCCCAACCTCCGGGCCAGTCTCCCTCCCCCACCTTCTCGTCCGCCTGGAGCTGCGGCTGCTGTCCCTGAGATGCGACCCTCGCGGGGGCGACCCTGAGGGGAGGCGGCCCATGTGCTGAGCGGCGACCAGGAGCCCAGGCGTCCGGGGACCAACTTCCTGCCGCCTGAGAACCCGAGCCTCCCGGTGTCGCGCCTCGCTCGGTCCGCACCGGCCTGCGGAGCCGGGTCCCCGCCCTGGTCGCGGGGACGCCCGCCAGGTGCCCGGGAGTCCGGACTTGGCCACTGCTCGCGCCCCGCCGGCCCCCACACCTCGCGCTGAGGACCCCAGGCACTGCCGCCTCGCCACGCCGGGGACCGCGTCCCCCTTCCCGGGGCGGCCTCCGCGCAGCAGGGGCGATGCAGACTGTCCCGCCGGCCGTCTAGAGCCCCTCCGCCTTCGTCACCTCTCGCCCTCCACTCCGGGCGAGGACGGGCGGTGGTTGCCCGGAGGTGCCCGGCCACACCTTCCTTCGGCCCAAAAGGACTTACTTTCCTGGCCGCCCCGAACCGACCCTTCCTTCATGCTGCAGTGCTGCAGCGTTTCCGCCACCGAGGGGGAAAAGCGGCCGCGATCTCAAACCAAACACAAGAATTGGCGTGTGACTCATCTGCTTGGATACCTCCAGTCCCCAAACTGTGTTCCAGGAGTTTTCTTGGCCGAAGCTGCCCGATGTTTGAGCCGTTTCTTCCCAGAGAGGAAGATGGACTGAAAGCTGCCAGTTGGGGACTTTTTGTGATCAGGGCGCTGCTGGGTTTTGAAGGAGGTGATGGGGCTTGCGCTGGCTTGTCTTCCCACCCAAGTGAAGAGTTGTTGATGTTCACTGGTTATGCGTAGACAATGTGCAGTTTGTTTTAATTTAAAATTTTGGGTGGGATAGGGGTATAGGCTTGTGAAGGGCAGTCCGGATCCGGAGGAACTCCTCTTTGTCCCTGGTAGGAGAGACACCCCCAGCCTATCCTCGATGCCGTCAGCCTTGGCCATCTTCACTTGCCGCCCGAACTCGCACCCGTTTCAGGAGCGTCATGTCTACCTGGACGAGCCCATCAAAATCGGCCGCTCAGTGGCCCGCTGTCGACCAGCGCAGAATAATGCCACTTTTGATTGCAAAGTGCTGTCAAGGAACCACGCTCTCGTCTGGTTTGATCACAAGACGGGCAAGGTAATGTCACCACCACATTGTCCAACGGCATTGTTTAACAAACTTCCCCACCCCCCGCTTTGCCCTCCCTGAGAGGCCTGACGTATGCAGGATCCCAGGCTTTGCATCCAGAGGAGGCTTTGCGCAAAGCCAGGAATCAACTGTTTGTGTGTCTGGTTCTAGTGGAAATTTGATTGAGGTGGTTGAATGGAAAACAGAGAAGATATTGTAATTAAAAGCCTCAGGAGGGCTATGGCATCTTGATAACGTGGTCATTCCCAGAGAAATCCCAAACTAGATTGTGAAACTTGGCGTCTTGCTTTCAGTCTGTTGAGAAAGGTGAATTCAGAGTTCAGCCCTTTATTAAGCAAGCAGCAGTTCTCAAAGCAATTCGGGGAATCCGTGGCCATTATTACCCCCGGGCTCAAGTGTCTGTGGTGAAATGTAGTTAACACACAGCTTTAGTTGAGTTCAGATCAGGACCTTTCTAAGTAAGGACAATTGCTGGTGTAAACCTAAGATTTTTGAAAGGTTTGCTACATACTTGCTCTTGAAGGAATCATTTGCAATAATCAAAGCTAATTTAATAAGCATGAGAACTGTACTTTATATATTTTGAGAGTTTTTTTTTACAAGTTGGATGAACATACATATATTGCGTTTGAAAATCACTTTTTGATGTTCCCTGCAGCACTTATTAAGTACTTTTTGCATACTTACAGAGGTGCTATTCAAAAGTTAGTGTTAGGAAGTGAACTTACTTTCTGAAATTACGCCCTAGTCTGTCAACTATAGTGTTACTTAAATGTGATAGGATGAATTCAGTGCTTTTCATTTTAAGTGTAACCATTTTAGCATTTTTATATTAGTATCGTAATTTACTATCCATGTATGTGCTTTTATTTTAAGAAATGAAGAAAAAAGTTAAGATCATTTCCATTTTTAAAAACTATTTATGTTTGTGGAGCGTATACTAAAGATCTCATCTTTGTGCCTAAACCTCAGGTTTTTAGCTGAGCTACTGAATCAGTTCCAACTTTAAGTTATGTAAGACTAATAGGACTGTCTCAGGTTTCACCTTCTGACTTTTTGCCCCTTCTTTCTGAGTTAAATAATTAAATCTTTCTTAAAGGAAGAACTTAAGTCTTCAAGAATGTTTTGAAATGAAAGAAACCTGAGCCTCAAAAGGAAGAGAAGAAAATTATACTTCGGCAGCTACTGATTTAAGGAAATATTTTATTACTTTTTAAAGAAAAGAGGAAAAGATTGTCCAAGTGCTGTGTGCTGCATAGTATCTATATTGTGAGTGTAGCATGAGAACTGAAGAGTATGTTAACTTTTCTGTATAACACCAGTTCCTCATTTACCTTTAGAACAGACCCTTCCCTCCTTCCCCCAAGCTGAAGTTAGGGTACCTAAAATACTTCATAGATTACTTGAGATATATATATATATATATACATGTATTTTTTTTGACAGATTTTTACTTGTAATCTTTTTTTTTTTGAGACAGATTTTTTGTTATTGTCACCCAGGCTGGAGTGCAGTGTCACTATCTCAGCTCACTGCAACCTCTGCCTTCCAGGTTCAAGTGATTCTCCTGCCTCAGCCTCCCAAGTAGCTGGGATTACAGGTGTATGCTACCATGCACAGCTAATTTTGTATTTTTAGTAGAGACAGAGTTTCACCGTGTTGGCCAGGCTGGTCTCGAACTCCTGACCTCAGTTGATCCCCCTGCCTCAGCCTCCCAAAGTGCTGGGATTACAAGTGTGTGCCACGAAACCTGGTTCTCATAATTCTTTAAAATGAATATTCCTAGACGTCATTTTTCCAGCAGTTGAATTCAAACATCAGTTTCATACTAGGTAGTGCCTTAATTCAACCAGCTTTTACATTTTTGCCATTTTATGTCCTTGGGCAACAGGTCTACACTAATCAGACAACAGCTTTGCTTACAGTACATATTCTGTAAGTACAGTTTCTTTTTTTTTTCCCACACCCCTTCCTGCAAATGCACTTTATTTGATTAAATACTCAAAGGGGACTCAGATTTTTTTCTTGTACTTATTTGACAAATAGTGATTTCATGCACAGTGCTTTCCATGGCTGTACTAAAACTCTCACAATAGGTTATTTTGAGATAGCTAAGAATAGATCAATAGTGACTGTTTCATGATTTGAGATGACATGTTAATTTTTTTTTTTTTTTTGAGATGGAATCTCACTCTGTTGCCCAGGCTGGAGTTCAATGGCATGATCTTGGCTCACTGCAGTCTCTGGATCCTGGGTTCAAGTGATGCTCCTGTCTTAGCCTCCTGAGTAGCTGGGATTATAGGCGTGTGCCACTATGCCCAGCTAATTTTTGTATTTTTAGTAGATACTGGGTTTCACCACGTTGGCCAGGCTAGTCTTGAACTCCTGACCTCAAGTGATCCATCTGCCATGGCCTCCCAAAGGGCTACAATTAAAGGTGTAAGTCACCACGCCCGGCCGTGAAATTTGTTGCTTAGAAAACCTTATCTTTGAGGGGTAGATATGGTTTATTTCTACCATTTTAACTTTTTCCCCCTTCTGCTTTATTAGCTAAAATAACACGCAGGCTATGAAGCCACTACTTTAGGTATAGTTGTAATTATTTATTATTTTTATTTTTTTTGAGACGGAGTTTCACTCTTTCACCCAGGCTGGAGTGCAATAGCGCAATCTTGGCTTACTGCAACCTCTGCCTTCCGGTTTCAAGTGGTTCTCCTACCTCAGCCTCCCAAGTAGCTGGGATTACAGGTGCACGCTATTACGCCCGGATAATTTTTGTATTTTTAGTAGAGACGGGGTTTCACCATGTTAGCCAGGCTGGTCTCAAACTCCTGACCTCAGGATCTGCCCTCCTCGGCCTCCCAAAGTGCTAGTATTATAGGCATGAGCCATCTCACCTGGCCAATTATTTGTTATTATACCACTTAGTCTAGTTAGAGTGTATACTCTGTCATATCTTACCATGTCATCAAATTGTTTTAGGAATTAACTATTTAAAGTTTTGGTTTGGACAGCTAGAAGGTTTTAACTGAGCATCTGTTAGATGCCAGACACTGTGAGGGACACAGTTCCAAAGAAAACTTAAGTGTGACCAAATAGTTCTTGTTAGTATGAAATTTGCAGTGTCTGTAGTCCTAGTTACTCAGGATGCTGAGGCAGGAGGGTTGCTTGAGCCCAGGAGTTTGAGGTTGCAGTGCTGTGATTATGCCACTGCACTCAACTCCAGCCTGGGCAACAAAGCAAGACCATATCTCTTAAAGAAAAAAAAAAAAATCCCTTCAGGCAAGTTTTGTTTTTTTTTTTTTTAACATCTGGAGATGATAATGGTACCAATTATTGTTTTGAGGATTGAGATAATTATATAAATCACCTAGCATCCTGTCCCCGGCTGTTACTAAGCACACAGTACTTAGCAGAGAGGGTGTTTAGTGGGGAAGAGTAAATTATTTAGACAACACTTTGTAGTGCTATGGAGTCTTAGGAAGGTAATGAGAAATTATTTTCTTTAATGTGATGGCATATATAGAAGAAATTTTATTTTTATTTTTACTTTTTTGAGACGGATTCTGGCTTTGTTGCCAAGTCTGGAGTGCAGTGGTGCAGTCTCAGCTCACTGTAAACTCCGCCTTCTGGATTCAAACCATTCTCCTACCTCAGTTTCCCAAGTAGCTGGGATTACAGGCATGCGTCACCATGCCTGCCTAATTTTTGTATTTGTGGAGGAGACAGGGTTTCACCAGGCTGGTCTCGAACTCCTGGCCTCAGGTGATCCACCTGCCTTAGCCTCCCAAAGTGTTAGGATTACAGGCGTGAGCCACTGCATTCGGCCAGAAGAAATTTTTAAAGTTGAAACTAATGTAGTTGATAACTTTGTCCAAATTGGCAGTTTACCTGGGAGGTGGAAAATTGGGGTAATATGTGCTTTGGATGACTTTCACTTTGTGCTGACTATTGCATAATACATTGTCCATTATGGGAAGCTCATTAAAAGTTGGAAGAAGTAGACCAGATGTGGTGGCTCATGCCTGTAATCCCCGTACTTTGGGAGGCCGAGGCAGGCAGATCATGAGGTCAGAAGATTGAGACCAGCCTGCCTAACATGGTAAAACCCTGTCTCTGCTAAAAATAAAAAAATTAGTTGAGCGTGGTAGCACATGCCTGTGATCCCTAGAATGGCTATTAATCCCTCTGTTGACTCAGGGTACCACTGAGCAAGCAGATCTACCCACATAGTGGTTACATAGAAGGGATAGTGAGTGGACTGTTCTCTTGTGATTTGGATGGCCCTATTTGATTTGAGGCCTTGGGGTACTGGTGACATGCTAGTGGTTGACAGTCTATTTCCAGTCTCACTGAAGTTTACTTACTAGTGGTAGTAGTTGTCTTCTTCTAGTCTCACTACTCAGGAGGCTGAGGCAGGAGAATCACTTGAACCCAGGAGGCAGAGGTTGCAGTAAGCCAAGATGGCGCCACTGCACTCCAGGCTGGGCGACAAACAAATAATACGTGTTCATTTGAGAATATCTGCGAAATGTAGGCAGTTAGAAATCTAAGTGACACTTTTTAATGCTAAGCTCATGGAATATCTTATTGTATAATACTTAAATCTGCATGTTGAAGGGTGACAGGTTTGGTACAAAGCAGAGTTTCATAATCTTTCCCAAATCATCTTCTCAGTGATGTAGCAGTTAGATATTGCTTTGCTTGGATGCTGGCCCTATGTATGATTCTTCATCCTTTTTGGATGTCAAGGGCTTCAAATTAGAATGTTTTCTTTTCTTTTCTTTTTGAGGTGGACTCTTGCTCTGTTGCCCAGTCTGGAGTGCAGTGGCGTAGTCTCAGCTCACTGAAACGTCTCCCTCCAGGTTCAAGCAATTCTTCTGCCTCAGCGTCCCAAATAGCTGGGATTACAGGTATTAGCCACCATGTCTGGCTAATTCTTTGTATTTTTAGTAGAGATGGGAGTTTCACCATGTTGGCCAGGCTGG